TTTTATTTTTTATTTTTTTTTGGACAGAGAGAGACAGAGCATGAACGGGGGAGGGGCAGAGAGAGGGAGACACAGAATCAGAAACAGGCTCCAGGCTCTGAGCCATCAGCCCAGAGCCCGACGCGGGGCTTGAACTCACGGACCGCGAGATTGTGACCTGGCTGAAGTCGGACGCTTAACCGACTGCGCCACCCAGGTGCCCCAACGTTTGTTTATTTTTGAGAGAGAGAGGCAGAGTGCGAGTTGGGGAGGGACAGAGAGAGAGAGGGAGACACAGAATCCGAAGCAGGTTCCAGGCTCTGAGCTGTCCGCACAGAGCCCGATGTGGGGATTGAACTCACGAACTGTGAGATCATGACCGAGCCAAAGTCGGACGCCCAACCGACTGAGCCACCCAGGCGCCCCTAGGAGTTCTATTCTTACACATTTATTCCAGAGAAACAAAAACAGGTTTACACAAAAACCTGTACACAAATGTTCATAGCAGTTTGATTCATAATTGCCTCAAAGTGGAAACAGCTAGAACAGACTTCAATGGGTGGGTGGTTAAACACACTTGGTACATCCTTACCATGGGCTCCTTCTCAGCAATGAAAAGAAACGGCTATGGATACAACAACTTGGATGGATCTTAAGGGAATGATGCTGAGCAAAAGAAACCAGCCACAATGGCTGCATACAGTGTGATTCTATGTCCATAACATTCTTGAAACAACATGATAGAGATAAAGAACAGATTGGTGGTTTCCAGGGGTTAGGGGAGTAGGGGTTGAATGGAGGGGTGTGGCTATAAAAGGGTGGCTATAAAGGGAGCCTTATAGTGATGGAGACATTCTGTGTCTTGATTGTGGTGGTTGCATAAACCACGTGTGATACGATTCCATAGAACTGTACGTGCACACACATAACACTGGGGATATCTGGATAAGCTCTGCAGATTGCACTAGGGTCGCCTGGCAATGTTGTACTGTGGTACAGTGTATCTTACAGTGCAGGAGGCTGCCGTTAGGGACAGTGTGAGGCGAAGGGTACATGCAACACCCCTGTACGATTTTTTTTGTGCAACTTCCTAATGAATCTATAATTATTTCAGAGTTTAAAGGAAACCCACAAGGGACTGAGATTCAGATCAGGAAGGAGGACCTTTTGATGGGGCAGCGGAGACCTCTGTGGGGAGTGATCTTTAGGCTGAGAGTGAACAGATGAGGATGGCCCCAAGCAGGATCTTGTAGCCGTGCCCTCTTTCCCCAGAGATGTTCAGATCATCTGGGCAGAACCAGTGCTGGGAAGGAATGTCTTCCTTTTCTTCTTGGTTCCTACTCCCCTCTGTTCCCTCCAGTCCCCTGGGTTGATTCTCATCCTTCCTCCTCTTCTTTCATCAGCCTAGACAAACTGCTTGATGCTGGTCTCTACACTGGAGAAGTGACTGAAATTGTAGGAGGCCCAGGTAGCGGCAAAACCCAGGTACATGTGCGGCCAGCAGCCAGGAGGATAGGGGGAGGTGGGTGCATAGCTCCATATCCCTCAGGGAGCTTCTGCCAATGTGCTTGTGACTCAACTTGGAAGAGAGAGGATGGGTGATGAGGAGTGGGGCTTGAACTTGACTCGATCGTGTCACTGGGATTTGGACAGGATTTGGTGGGGAGTTCTCATTTTGGGGGCTCAAGTTCTCCCAATGCCTTGTCTTTTCAGGTATGTCTTTGTGTGGCTGCAAATGTGGCCTATGGCTTGCAGCAGAATGTTGTATACGTTGATTCCAATGGAGGACTGACAGCCTCCCGCCTCCTCCAGCTGCTTCAGGCTAGAACCCCAGATGAGGAGGAGCAGGTAAGGGGTAGGAGGGTTGAGTTCCTTTGAGGTTCTGACACAGAAAGACCCAAGTATCCCTTATACTGCAAGAATTATGGCCATTTGGATTAACAGTCATTTCTATTAATACTTCCTGTACTCTTCAAGCTTCCCCTGTTATGACATTATCCTAGCTGGGATGCTACCACACTGATCTCCCAGGTAATCCAACCCTTGCGCACCCTAAGTCATGGCTGGCAAACATCCAGCATCTGTGTTTCCTTCCCATTGCTTGCCCTCAGCAGACGTTCCTAACCAGACCTGCCAGTCGTACTTCCCTGACTGCACTCTGACTTGGCTTTGTAGGTCAGCACCCGGCAACCACCAGTGTGAGAACTGGCCCAGTAGACAAAACCCATCTGCCATCTTGGACTTGAGTCCTTATGTCTAGATGCGTCTGCTCAGGTTTAAAATCCCTCTTTAACTTGCTTGATCCCCTGCTCCCTCTTATTGAAAGCCCCTCCTTCTCTTTCCCACCCCTTTAGGCAGGAGCTCTCCAGAGGATCCAGGTGGTTCGTGCGTTTGACATCTTCCAGATGTTGGACGTGTTGCAGGACCTCCGAGGCGCTATGTCCCAGCAGGTGAGCCTGCTGTTCTGTCCCTTCCTGCTTCACCCAACTTGCCAGGGCGATCTGTATGTGGGCAGGTGCCCTACGACAGACTGTTTGGAAATGCAGATATGCAATCTGGTGACTCCAGCTGTGCATGCCACTTCCAGGATGGGACTCCTGAGTGCTAAATCCATTCCTGAGTACCTCATTGTTTACATGCCCATCTTTCCCACTAAACAGTAAGACCCTTGAGTGCAAGGATCATGTCATACTCATTTCTGCATTCATTCCCCCACAGGATCAGCTAGGATTACTTTCAGCTGCAAGTGATAGAGTCTGCCTGACAGACACATGAACCTTGAGGACATTTAATTATCTCACATGAGTCTGGAGGTTGGCTGGTCCACAGTATCAGGGCTCTAGGTTGGTGTGTCTGATTCTCTTGCTCTTTCCCCTCATGATTGCAAAGTGGCTGCTATAGCTCTAAGCCTTATGTCTTCACACATCAACCCCGGTGTTCAGGGCAGTAATAGATGGCCCCTTTTCTGCACTTCTCTCCTTTTATCAGGAAAGAAAAATCTGTCTTCAGAAGCCACTAGTAGACTTTGCTTTACATCTAGTTGGCCAAAACAGAGTTTTATGTGTATCTCAGACTAGGAGTTGGGCCCACTTTCCATGATGTCAGGAGATTTCTGCCCAGTACCTGAAAACCTTCAGAATCCTGTTAACAAGGAAGAGGAGTTTAGAATGGCATTTGGATTCGTACTGCACTATACTTGCCTAGGTACTTAGGATTTGGTGCACTGATTTATGAGCTACTAGATTTAGAAAGACATCTTAGAATATTCATTAAATATTCATTAAAATTCATTAAAAAAAGAAAAAAAAAGAATAGCTCAATTCATGTTAAACTCTGACCCCAAAGCATAACATGTGCATGTAAAGTAAATCATTTTTACAAACTTCAGAATGTACTGAACAGATACTTGCCATAGGAGCCATTTTTGATTATGACCCATGTGTGTTGAGACATGAAGTCAAGTAGCCTTGATCTAATCCAACCCTCTATTTCTAGAGATGAGAGTGAGGGCCAGAGAAGTTTAGTAAGTTATTTATAGTCACCACATAATAAGGATAAGAACTAAGCGAATAACCCAAATCTCTCAACTCCCAAGTCAAATGACTGTATTTTTTACTGGAAGACCGTTATGATAGTATATATCCTATTGTATAACAAATTACATAAATTTAATGACTTAAAGCAACACATGTTTACTACCTCACAATTTCTATGGGTCAGGAGTCTGGCACAGTTAGCTGGGGCCTTTGCTTAGGATCTCAGTAGTCTGTAATCAAGATGGCAGCTGGGCTGTGTTCTTATCTGGAGGCTCAACTGGGGGAGAATCCACTTGTAAGTTCACTCAGGTTGTTGTCAGAATTCATTTCCTAGTGGGGTCCAGTTTCTTGCTGGCACACTGCCCCCTGTTGTCTGCCATGTGGCCCTTTCCATAAGCAGTTCACAGCATGACCACTTGCTTTCAAGACAGCACAAGAATGAGAGCAACACGCAGTCTCATATAACATAATGTAATCTTGGGAGTGATGTTTCATTACCTTTGCCGTATAACGTAGCCTAGACAAGAGAGTAACATTCCAACACCTTTGACACTGTATTAGTCAGAAGCAAGCCATAAGACTCACCCGTAGTTGGGGGGAGGGGATTATATGAGAGCTTGTACACCTGGAGGTGGGGGTCAAGGGGCTGCTTTAGGTTTTGTCTGCCACGGATGACCTGATAACTCCATAGTTGCCAGCAGTGAGAGCCTGGCTGTCCCCATTTTAGCCAGAGATTTCAACCTGCTCTCCCAGAGTGAGGAAGAGTTAAGCTGATTTCAGCTTTAGCTTCTCTTCTGCCGTCTTCTCTTAGACAAGCTGATGGCCGAGAGTCAGAAACTGGAAGATGAACAAAGACATGCAAAAGACAGGCCAGATAATGCTGAATATCCAAGATCTGGTCGGCATGAAGTGAGAAAGAAAGCTGTAGAAACAGAATCAGCAAATGACTTGGATATAAGGAGTAAGGGAGGTTAGGTCCAAGATGCTAATGCTTGTGTAAAGACAAAAGTTTATGGTTTTAACAGATGGCTGTCTATATAGTCTATATTTAGAACCACTTCAGATGCGGAAGATGAGGCCCTAGAGGCATGATGATCTGGAAGGAGACAGTGAAGTAAAGAGAAGGCTAACCCTTTAGCACAGGGAGTTAGGAATTTGGGGAGTAGGAAGGAGAGGGAGAAGAGGGACCTGAAAAGATGGTGGAGGGCTGGCCATCAGGAGAAAGATGGCTTCTAAGAAAATTCGGGACTGGAGCACCTGGCTGGCTCAGTCAGTAGAGCATGTAACTCTTGATCTCAAGGTTGTGAGTTCGAGCCACACGTTGGGTATAGAGATTACTTAAAAATAAAATCTTAAGGAGTGCCTGGGTGGCTCAGTCGGTTAAGCATCTGACTCCTGGTTTCGGCTCAGGTCGTGATCTCACAGCTCGCGGGACTGAGCCCCACATCAGGGTCTGCACTGACGATGCTGAGCCTGCTTGGGATTCTCTCTGTCCTCTCTCTCTGCCCCTCCCCTGCTCATGCACTCTTTCTCTCTCTCTCAAAATAAGTAAATACACTTAAAAAATATAGTAAAATCTTAAGGGGTGCCTGGGTGGGTCAGTCGATTGAGCGTTCAGGTCTTGATTTCGTCTTGGCTTGTGATCCCAGTGTCATGGGATCGAGCCCTGAGTTGGGCTCCACATGAGCATGGAACTTGCTTAAGATTCTCTCGGGGTACCTGGGTGGCTCAGGCAGTTAAGCACCCTACTCTTGATTTTGGCTTAGGTCATGATCTCACAGTTTGTGAGATCAAACCCTGTGTGGGGCTCCATGCTGACAGCTGGGAGCCTGCTTGGGATTCTGTCTGTCCCTCTCTCTCTCTGCCTCTCCCCTGTTCACATGCTTTCTCTCAAAAGAAATAAACATTAAAAAAAAGAAAGATTCTCTCTCTTCCCTCCTCTGCTTATCCCCCTTGCATGTGTGTGTATATGCTCTCTAAAAAATAAGATAAAATAAAATAAAATCCTAAAAAAAGAAAAAGAAAATTCATGGCTAGGGCTATAGAACTTGGAACAGGGATTTTGCAAATATATTTTGGTATATCTGTGATGTCCTTTGATTTAAAACCTCTCTCTCCACCCAAGTCTTCAGTAAAATCTCTCATACCTACATAGGAGGTGGGGTGGGGGGACTGAAAGTCCGTGAAACCTGCACAGCTAATATTTGGGGTTGGGGAACTTACTTCTTACCAGTTCCGGATAGAGGAACAATCTTGTCCTGTAATGGACACCCCCTAGAGACTAACTGGTTCATGGCACCTGCTTCTCCCCAGGTGAGCAGTGCCTCAGCGACTGTGAAGGTGGTGGTTGTGGACTCGGTCACTGCCGTGGTCTCCCCACTTCTGGGAGGTCAGCAGAGGGAAGGTAAGAGGTGTGGCAGAGCCCACAGTCCGGGACATGACCTTGCCTCCCAGCTCTGAAATCCAGTCCCCATCCAGCCTAGTCCCGGGTGCCCTGCTGCCCTCGCCCTTTGCTTCTCTTCCAGGTTTGGCCTTGATGATGCAGCTGTCTCGAGAGCTGAAGACCCTGGCCCGGGACATTGGCGTGGCGGTAATGGTGAGGAACTGGGCTTGGCCAGCTTGCTGCTTTTGTGTCTGATCCCAGGGCTTTGCCAAGGGGGCACATGAATTCAATTTATAATTCAGTTTCTAGGCTGTTTACTTCCCTTAAATGGCAACCTCTGAAACCTGAAAGTGGCCCTTTAGGAAAGGGTCCTGGCCCAACTTCCCTGGGTCATCGAGCACTGGATTTTGATGGGATTGGACGTAAATAGCCAAGGGGTCAAGGACAGTCTTGTTTTTCTTTTTACTTTAAGACAGGTTTATTCGGGTATAATTCACACAGAGTAACTCTCTTCTCATTTAAAGTTTGGCCAACAGATACTAATGTATCCAGTCTTGTTACCCTGGCACAATCAAGATCTCGACTATTTTGGTCACCCCAAAAAGGTCACCCAGCCCCAGACAACCACCAATCTGGTTTCTATCTCAATAGTTTTGCCTTTCAAGTCTGCATGCTTCTCATAGGGCAAAATAGTTAAATATAGGAATCAAATTTGCAATAAATCTCCACATCCACAGAAATCATATTAATATTTTTGTATATCTCCATAGGATCTTTTTTCTCTGCATATATATCTATACGTTTAACCAGCTTTCCAACTAAACTGTAACCTTGTTTAAAAAAAAAAACTCAGGGCACCTGGGTGGCTCAGTTGATTAAGCGTCTGACTCTTGATTTTAGCTTAGGTCATGATCGCACAGTTTGTGGGATCGAGCCCCATATTGGGCTCTGTGCTGACAGTGTGGAGCCTGCTTGGGCTTTTCTTTCTCCCTCTCTCTCTGCCTCTCTCTCTCTCTCTCATAATAAATAATTTTTTTTTTAAAAAACTCATTCCATTTCCCATGTCTTTAGATGTTTTAAGAATGCCATTTTTAGCAGTTATATATTTTATCTAATACCTAGGTTACAGGGGTCAGCAAAGTTTTCTGTAGAGGGCCAGACAGTAAATAGTTGAGGCTTTATGGCCATACGGTTTGCATCACAACCACTCAACTCTGCCTAGATAGCATGAGAGCAGCCATAGACAATACTTGAGCAAAAGGGCATGGCTATGTTCCAGTCACATTTGATTTTCAATAACAATTTTGGGCCACATTTGGGTATTAGTTTGCCAGCCCCTCGTATACCATAATGATCTTGGGGCCTGTAGGTCATTCCTGGTTTTCCTCTTATTTTAAGGAAGACGCCAGTGAACAACATGCTGATACCTAAATCTCTTTGCACATTTCATATTATTTCCTCGAACTCCTGAAAGTATATTCCCTGGGTCAGGGTTGCATGCATTTTCTTTTTCTTTTTTTTTTTTTTTTTTAATGTTTATTTACTTATTTTTGAGAGAAAAGGAGCACACACAAGCAGGGGAGGGGCAGAGAGAGGTAGACACAATCTGAAGCAGGCTCCAAGATCTGTGCTGTCAACACAGCACGACAGGGAGCCCGATGGGGCCATGAGACCATGACCTGAGCTGAAGTCAGACACTTAACCAACCGAACCACCCAGGCACCCCGAGGGTGCATGCATTTTTAAATGTGTAGATGCCAACTAATTTCCAGGGAGGTATTCTCATTTCTACACCCACCAGCAGTGTTCTTGAGTCCCAGGGCCTCCCTCTCCTGACTTTAGAATTAACGTGATCACCTGCTTGTGCCTCTGGCTCAGGCAGTGGGGACTCGGTGACGAATAAGCCACATCCCCTGCCCCTGGTTGGGGTCTGGTGGGGAGAATCTTATTAAGAGGATGCTGTGAGGCTCAGGTCGCCTACCTATGACTATCCTGGGCAGAGTAGAACGGACTGACCAGATTACGACCTCCCTTTCAAAGCTCCCCCAACCTCCCCACACACAGAGGCACTCCCTGACACAAAAGGCTGGGTGGACGTGGTCTCAGGATGCCTGTCTGCTGGGTCGGGGAAGCCCGCTGCTGGCTTCCCTTCAGCAAAGTGCAGACAACACTGCTTTTCCCAGACACATGCCCCATCACCTTCTGTCCAAGTCCAGCCTGAGGCATTGTGATTTAATGGAAAGAGTTGAGCACAAGTGAGGACCCACGGTTCTTAACGCAAGACCTGCTGTTACTAACTTATGGAGCCTTGGGGAAGTCATTTCTCTGTGCGAGGCCTCAGTTTTTTCTACACTTGCATTAAGTCTTTGATGCTTTCTTCCCCAGGTGACCAATCACATGACCCGAGACAGGGACAGTGGGAAGCTCAAACCTGCCCTTGGACGCTCCTGGAGCTTTGTACCCAGCACCCGGATTCTCCTGGACATTGAGGAAGGGGCAGGGATGTCAGGCAGTTGGCGCAGGGCCTGTCTGACCAAATCTCCCCGTCTGGTGAGCCAGCCCCAGGGGAAAGCCAGGAATCGGCCCAGATGTCTTATAGAGACATCTTGGATGCTGAGACCCTGCAACCAAAGTGGCCACCGGCTTGGGCTGCTTCACTCAAAAACTTACCTTTCCCTCCTGTCTTCTCCCAGCCAACAGGTTTCCAGGAGATGGTAGACATTGGAACCTGGGGGACTCCAGAGCAGAGCCCCACGTCACAGGGAGATCAGATGTGACTGTTCTACTGATTGGGAAAGGGAGGGCCATCATGGGCCCCCCAACTCTGTGCACAGTAACACCTGCTGTTCACTGCCATCCAGCGCTTGGGATTCCAGTCGAAGCTCTTGGGCTGGACAGAAGAGGCATCTCTGTTTCTGCAGCCTCTCTTTCTGTGGAAACAGAGCTACAGGCGAGAGAGGTGCTGTGGTGGAAGGACCCAGAAATCCATGCCGGTGCCAAGTTTTCTTCCTTGTTTCTATCATGTATGTTTCCAGTGGGAGCTGAGTTCACCCTGGCTTAGGGCATTTCTGAAGAGGCATGCTAGTAACTGAGCAGAACCCTGTGTGTCATCGTTGTGCCTGCACTCCATCCTTACACAGTGATTGAGCCATGAAGCCTCCGGCTTGCCCCCGCTTCTCTCTGTTTTGTTTGTTTTTGTTTGGGGGTTTTTGGCCTCTGTTTTTCCATCCATAAGATGGAGCTCCCCTAGCTTTGTCTCTGAGGTACTAGGTGGAAGTGCCCTTGTAAATGCAAAACCTTTATCTATGTCATGTTCTGAAAAATACAAAGACGAAATTCCCTGAGCCCCAAAGCCACCTAATTTCCCCCCAGAAGGTTGTTTTTCAGTTTCCCCTAGTGAGGTTCCAAAGAACGGTTACTCCTTTTTTCCCTCTTGCCGATTTGGTTTCACACACCTGCATGCATCACCATGACTAGGTGAGATTGTGAACTCCCTGCAGTCCCAGGGATATAATCTAACAGGAAGGGAGGATGTGACCACAGTGAATCCAGCTACTTGTTTATTATGCACGGTGCCTTGCAGGGCCCCTCTACAGTATAGAGTAGCCAAAGGTGCTGAACCATGGCCTTGCCCATAAACAGACAGAGGAGAATTTGCACAGTAAATACAGCCAGCTGGGAAAATTGATGCTGGCGTAAATAATACATGGCAAATCTAGTCCTTTATGCAGAAATTCATTGCCAGTGGCTCCGAGATGCAATATAATTACCCTTCTCTTCCTGCCAGCTGTACCACAGCCTGGTGCCCTAGTGTATGAAATAACCCCCCTGTCTGTTATTGGCACTGTGGCCATCCATCTGAGGGCTGTAGCCGTGGCTGGGGGGGGGGGGGGGGGGGGGGCAGGGGGTGGTGAGGAGGACACCAGGGAAAGAATAATAAAAGGCAAAGTAGAGAAATGATCAGAATTGTTTACGGACTACATTTTTTAAAGGAAGGTCGCCTTTCTTGGTTAGAGAGCCTGTCATGTAATTAATTAGTTGTGTCTTGGCTGCAAGAAAAGGGGGGTCAGAGTTACAGGGGGAAGCTAGGACATTAAGATGATGAACGTAGCCGAGGCAGAAGCAGGAAGCGTGGAGGACCGGGAACGAGCAGCACGCTGGCTCCGGGGTATCTGCCTGAACGAAGACAGGGTTGGTGAGCCTAAGATGAGGGGGAGCCCGGCACTGCTGCTTGCAGAGAGGACCCTGGGAGAAATTAATGTTCGGTATCCTCACACCATGAGGGGCTGGCGCATTTCTGCAACCGTAGCAGGGAAAAATACGTTAAGCTAGGAGTTGCAGATCCCTGCCGCTCCTGACATTTGGGCATTTTGAGCCCACAGAGGTAATTTCTGCACAGCGGTCTCCCCAATCACTCAAGGGTTCTTTTTTTTATGGAACTCAGGAGTCCAGGTAGTCACGACCAACCAGAGAGGGAAACTGAGGCCCAAAGAGGAGGAGTGATGGTCCCATGGCAGAACAGGAGCGGGCACCCAGGACCCCAGAGACCTTTGGGTCTCCTTGTTACCTTTAGTTTCCCATCTGCATACTTCTCTTCCCCTGGACAATTCACTGCAACTCAGCCATCACCCAGGTGGCCTCACTGGCCACGGGAAGCTGCCCCATTCACTGCTGCTCCAGACCACCTTGTGACATTCCTGCAGGATCCTGCCTCCCCAACCCCCAAGCTTGCTTCCTCCCTGGATCTTGCTCTCAGACCAGGGCTTCACCTCACCCTGCGTGCTGCCACTGCACACTCCATTCTGGGCAGGCTGCATGGTGCGTTGGCCTAGCAGGCTTCGGGCCGGGCTGGTTCTTTTGCCCAAGTGCCTTTTGCTCCCTTTGCTTATGTGTCTGCTGTGTCAGGTGCACACTCACCCTGACATCCTCCCTTTTTTATGCAGCAAGTATTGTCTAGATAGACATCATAACCCCTCTCTGCCTCTCTTTCTGTTCACTTGTCTGCGCACGAGCTCAAGAGCCATTTTAAGAGCCCCATGTCAATTTTCCTTTTGTTCTCTCTGCAGTCTGGGAGCTCAGTAATGGTTAACTATATGAATGGGTGGGCTCTAATGCATTTTAAAGATGGCAAATGAGGAACGCAGGGATGTTTTTCTCTAGATCTAGATAGTCATTGATTCCCCAGAGTAGCTTTTTATAGAGCTTTCTACGGAGGATTCTTGTATGTCCTGGGTTTGATATTAAAATTTTTTTTTCAACGTTTTTTATTTTTATTTTTGGGACAGAGAGAGACAGAGCATGAACGGGGGAGGGGCAGAGAGAGAGGGAGACACAGAATCGGAAACAGGCTCCAGGCTCCGAGCCGTCAGCCCAGAGCCTGATGCGGGCTCGAACTCACGGACCGCGAGATCGTGACCTGGCTGAAGTCGGACGCTTAACCGACTGCGCCACCCAGGCGCCCCCCCTGGGTTTGATATTAGAAAAAAATTAATGTTGAGTCCCTACTCCGGGCTGGCACTTGATGACTTTAAGTCAGGCACCTGAGCCCCCAGAGACTCTCAGGCAAAAAAAGGTCCATGTCTCCTTGAGGCTGCTCTCCACTGCAAGTAACAAAACCTGGCCTAAAGAGGCTTAAACAATAAGGACATTATCTCCAGTTACAAGGAGTCCGAGTTTGGCTTGTTCAGTGGCTCAGTGTGAAGGGGTATAAGGCCTCTTTGATTTCTCCACTCTGCCTTCCTTTTGTGTTGGTTTTGTCTTCAAGCTCATTTTCCTCATTAAATTCTGGATGTGGCCATTCTGAGCATCAATCCAGACATGACAGTATCTACAGGCAGGAACCCGGGCCTTGGGTCCTTTTAAGAACCAGGAAAATTCAACTTCCGGCCAGAGCAGATTTACCTCATACCTTAGCACAGAATTGCTTTCTTATAGCCCACACCTAAATCATGGCAAGGGAAATGGGTCTGTGATTGGCTCAGACCAAGAAGAAAATAGCCTTAGGGCTGGGGTCAGGCTTCTCTTAAGCACATGCTGTGGCCTTCTGGGAAATGGGGGCACTACTAGAAAGGAGGGAGTTGCATGGAGGAATTAGACATCCAGTGGGCAGCCCCAAGTCCAGAAGGCAAGTTTTTCAAGGCTCTCATGTGCTTAGGCCCTTTGTACACATCTCATTTAGATCTTAGAACAGACACCCTTCTAGCATGGGGAATCATTTCCATTGTACAGTCAATAGGAGCCCAGCAAGGCTAAGGACATAAGGCTAATAAGTGATAGCAACAGATTCCAAACTCGGGTCTGTCTCATTCTAAACTCTTCTGTCCATCCTCATGCTGCCTTCAGCTGTGAATATGTAAACGTTTTGATAAAACTCTTTGTTGGGGTGCCTCACTGGCTCAGTCAGAAGGGCATGTAGCTCTTAATCTAGGGGTTTGCGCCCCATGTTGGGTGTAGAGATTACTTAAATATAAAATCCAAAAAAAAAAAAAAAAAAAAAAAAAAAAAAGATTATTTTTCATATTTTGCCCAGAGAGCAGCCAAGGCTATATACATCCTGAGCTCTTTTCAGCTTAGTTCACCATAAAAAGCTGGATCAGAGATCTACTTTATTAGCTCTTTCCAATTTCCCCTAGGGAATTTACAAGAGACTGCATGACTTAGACTCCTTAAGCCTCAGTTTCATCTGTGAAATGGGGAAAATAAGACCTGCTGCTTATAATTGCTTTAGGTTCATATGGTTTACGTAAAGCACTGAAGACTTTTCCGGGCCTATAATGGGACTTAACCTCATATTATTATTATGAGGCTTCTGATGCCTGGGAGATAATTAGTGACAGCTTCCTTCTGTCCGGGCAAGGCCAGCTTCAAGGAAGTATGACCAGTGCAGTTGCACAGAGCCCTGTGCTTATATTCTACTGTTGCCATCCTGAAATTCTTAATACTTTTGGAACAAGCATCCCATATTTCGCACTGTGCCCTGCAAGCTACATAACCAGTCCTGTCCCCAGCAATGAGTAGAACTCTTGTACTGGCCCTTCCCTTTGGAAAATACCCTACCACTGATTTCTTAGGGAATAACTCCCTTAGAGAGTTACCTCCTATAGAAAAATTGGGGTTAACATCTTGTGTCTTATCTCTGTTCCATTCTGGGGTAATCTACATGGCCTCTTTCAGAAAGGAATACTTTATATTTTACATAATTTACTAGGTTCAGAGAAGTTAAGAGGGGGCTGATGAAGTAGAATGATGATTTGGGGTTTTGGATAAGGAAAAGATCCAGGTTCAAAATGCTGCGGGGCTCTTTCTGGCCAAATTACTCAGGCAAGGTAAGGTGTCTGTCTCATTGGTAAAATCTATGTTGTGGGGGAATTATATTTTCCTTATTGGTAAAATTACATTGTCTCAGGGGAATTTAACAGATAATCTATGCAAAATGCCTTCCATAGAGAGCCTGGCACCTAGTAGGTGCTCAATCACCATTAATTCTTTCGGCTCTTGCCAGAAGTAACAAAATCAGGGCACTAGAACTTACAAACCATGCTGCTACTAATAAAAGAAATAATATGATTTATTTTTTCACTACTGTTTTGGGAAAGGCATGTGCTTCATAAATATGTATTGGAAAGTACTTAGCAAATGAGTAGAAATAATAAAAATATGTCAAAGTAAACTGCTCCTATAAATATGTCACTTGGTAGACAAATTAGTGTTTTATTACTACTAAATACTATTGCTTGCCGAAAAGGATTTTAGATTACTTGCACAATGGGTACATTAT